AGAGAGAGCATAGCAGATCAACGTGGCGACGCAGACAAGATATCGAACGGTGGGCGGACCATGTTAAGTTTGGTGGAGTCTGTTAGAAGTCCATGGCGCCTAGGGTCCTAGTGACGCGTTTCGATGTAGAAAGGTGGCGCTACCTTTGCACTTGCGTACCCAGCACTTCTAGCCATGGTAAGGGCTTCTTAGGTGGGTCTGAGCCCGAACTTTGCCTTTAAAATCAGCTTGATTCGTATTGCCAACACTTTTTCGGAAGTTACACAGCCATTTGAGGTGGTAGCGTTACGTGACTTACTACTTAAAAGTTCAAGCAAGCACGTAGGAGCTCCAATTTCTTGAAATTCATGGACACTGATTCTCCACAATAGTGACAAAAAAAATAGAAATGAATTGGTGGTTTTGACGATGCTCGAAAAATGGTCCGAAATAAGCGCACAGGTTGTTGCTCAGAGTTCAATTATGGATCAAGACCGTCAAACAAACGAAGTGAAAATTACCCAGAGTGACAAGGACGAAAGTGAAACCATGTTCCTCCATGAATGCTCGTCGCTCCAGTTCACTTATCGAGGGGAGATATGCCTGCCATAAAAGACCATAAAGGAGGCGCTGTTTGCAATGCTGGGCAAAAAGCCAAATAAAAAGAACTAACCGTCCTATCATAAACAACTTTGCGAATTTTTGGCATGAGCGTTGGCTGTTCATTTGAGAGTGAGCAGTTTTTCGAATTCAAAGGAGTTCGCAAATACGGACAGTCCTGAAGTGTAAGATGCATTATTGGCTGAATATTTTTAACGCACATTCGTGTCTTTAAACAGGCCATGGGCTTAAAGGCAAGATCCGCCAGTTCTGGTCTAAGCTGAGCCTTCCCCGAGAAATGCAGTGACGCAAGCGGAAGGCATGTACAGATTCCCCGGACGCGTTGGCAAGGCCGAGGCGAAAAGACCCTGGAACGCAGCATCGGCCCCGCCCTACACAACCGAACCCGCCCACAAGTCCACGCTACGTCACTTCGTCGCTGCTCAACGGGGACTTTATCTCCGCCGTTTCTCTCGTTTTTCACTACTGGCGTTACACATTACATGTCCACGGTCAATTGCAAGTGCATTGGTACAACTTCGATCTCGCACTTTGCTTTTATTGCTTTCAAGCATCTGGGCTTGACACTTGAAAATGACATTTATTGGTTTTTTATCATAATGCGCCCAGTTTTCAGCTTCCATACAGATAATAGCAACTCTTCTGTGAGGGTCCTAGCGATGACCTGCACATTTCTTAGTGCACAGCTAAAGTTCTGTCTGAAGTTTGTTGCTTTCGTGTATTTTCTTTTCTTCCTGTTGCACTGCAGTTGAGATACGAATGTTGTTATTGGGTTGTGAAAGAACAGTTCACTTTTAGAGGTTCGATTCCGGACCTCGTAGCTTCTGGGCTCTGGTATTAAAGGTGGATCTCACAATGAAAAGGCAGCTCATTGGAAATCAAGTGAAAAATGGTGAGTGAGGAACGAAAGAAAAAAAAACGAGAACAATGGCCTAAAAAAAGAGAAATGAGACCCCTATCCTGCCCGCTGATTTCCGCAGACGCGACTTTCATCCGGCTAAAGACTCAGACACAAGACGACGTGACGGGAAGGGGGCGTACCGCGCCAACTGCGCCTTGGGAAGGTCTGCTAGATCGCCGGGGCATATCCTTCGATGCGAAGTGCGTGTCGGTCCGCACCCTTAGCAGTCCGCCTGTCTCTCCACTAGGTGGGTTTCTCCTTCGACCTTCGTCCTTGTAGTGGAATCCTCCTTCAATCATTACGTGCTTGAGCCATATTCGTCTTAACTCTACCAATCTTCGATGTTTTTTTCACCTTATCAACACCCACACGTACAAGGTAAAAGGCGCATTGGCCGAACGATTAATTTTGAAGCTGAAACCATGAAGGAATTGATCACTAGTAGGTGGTGAATGGTACGGTCTTTATCACGTCAATGAACAACGTTCGTCGTTGGTAGGCCGGATCCATCCACACCATATTTTCTCACCTGATCGCCTAATCGCCTGTATTGTTAACTTTTAATAAGGCCCTAGCGTATAATGCAGTTGTGAGCTTTGTTTTCTTCTGTTTTCTACTGTTAAAATGAGCATTTATTAAATTACGTGAATAAATTGGCTGAAATGCCGCCAGGATTCGAACTTTTTTGCATCCCGCATCCTGAATCATCGCTTCTTGCGCTTCAGCAGGCAAACTATGGTATAAATGGGTAAAGGGCTAGGCAAGGAGATAAATGACCCGAATAATCTACACCGAATGGTCTGCCTGTATAGTAAGATTAAAAACAAATCGAGTGTAGTGTGGTAAAAAAAAACTCTCTCACCTCAGGAGGGACACACCCATCCTGTGGTTGAGGGAGTGCTACCATTTATATCGAATACGGCTACGCCACCTGCTGGTGGCATTGAAAAAATAGCCTTCCATGATATTTTGAGAGCATACACCTATCACGAGCATTTGGGAACTAGTGGCAGAGCCAGTGCGAGAGAGCAAATGAGGAGCGAGATTGAGAGGCTGCTTTCTAAAAGGGGACAACAATAACTTGTTCGGTTCAGAATCTAACTCCAAGATCTCTTTCTAGGCACACTGCCGCATAAGAATACATATTATATTATAGCAATATCTAATATTTCAAGATACGAAGCAACAGTTGTTGGTGACCCCATCACTGAAAGAAAAGAAAAAATAATATACATGCCTTTACCAGAGAAGGTCTTATCAGACGAGAATGCCCGAGAGCTTTTATCCAATGGTTTGCGATGATGTAAGGCGGCGTGCGCTGGGAAGTCCTAGCACGAGGAGCGAGAGGTCCCAACGATGGACAATCTAGTGCCCATAATTTATTATAATTAGGCAAACGGTCAAGTAACGTTAGCACGTATCCGGAATGCAAAGTTTGTCTAGCCTGTTTACCGAGGAACCGGAACCAGGACCTTTTGGTCTTTTTGAGTGGCACGGGTCCGGTCAGGAGAGAAATGATCAATTGTTTCTGTGAGTCCGGAGAATGTGGCCACTGCGTCTGCATATTGCAATGAATGTTTTGAAATATACTAGCCACCTGCGTAAGACTTATTGCTGTAGCAACCACAAGAGTCTGATAAAGAGCCCTGTGTTGCACAAGCGCCGAGAAGAATGCCGACGAGATCTAAGGCCAGCAATGAATAGTAAGATAAGAAAATATGGGTGGGCCCTAATCCACGTGTGGAGAGCGCTCGAAAAGAGCTCTAAGTTCCCAGCGCTGTTTGCGTCGCGAGGATGGCTCTATGTCGTGGGCCCGGCAACCACACCTTTCGCGGAAGATTTGGTCCAATGGTCTATGAATGTGCTTCTAAACGCGCAGTAACGGGGAGAACTGCTATACATCTAGTCATCGACCAAGATACCGCTCTAGCGTAACACCTAGTGTAAACCGCAATGTTGGTTTAAGTGCGGGACCAACACGGCTCCAACTTGAGGACCTCATACGACTCCTCTTACCCACCTTGGTAATGAGGTCTAAGGTAAGGAGTGTGTGGTATACTGAAGCAGCAAAACTGCGAAACTTTTTTTATAAATATTGTTTCATACATTGTTCGAAAACCCCATAAAAAATAAAGGAAATTCCTCATAAGCTCCTTCTCTTCCACCTCTTGCAGAGGTGACATTGCGCTAGCGCAGGTAGACGAAGTTAACACGACAATCAAAATTACCATTCTAATGATTATTTTACAGTGCTCACCCCTAGTGTTGCGAGGTTATCCACATTCACTCCTGACGAGATTGCCACAGCAAAACTGTTTGTTTGAAATTCCGATGTGTTGAAGGCATTGAGAGTATCGTCAAAGGAACGTTTTAGTTCCTTGAAGTTCTGCTTGGGTATTTCGAATAGGCAATGGCAAGACACCCTAGAATAAGAAAGTTTCAAGAAGAGAAACAAATTCTGGGGAAGTAGGAAAAAGCGTTTTACATTGCTTATGTTCATAGAAAGCGCTCGATGCTTCAGAAATCTATGCAATACTCGATCAGAAAAGTTCTCCTCAACGAGCAGAAATTTCATTAGTGACACTGAGAGTATAAGGTGTGGGCTTTGAATGAGGATTTTTCTAAAGCTCAAGGTCGAGTAAGGGGAAAGTAGCCTGGTCGAATGGCAGGGGAGCACTCGAAGCCAAGTTTCGGGGTTGGGTTCCAGGAGGGTAGCCCTCCCAGAGTGAAAAAAAACGGATCCACAGAGCAAGAGACGCGAAACTGTCACGACTCGAAAGTGCGAGGCAACGACGCTAAGGCCGATGTCAGACTTTGCGAATCGCGCGATTCGCTAGCGTCCGCGGTCGCGTTGCGGTACCAGCCAATTGAGTGATTCACTGGCCGCGACGCGACCGCAGACGCTAGCGAATCGCGCGATTCGCAAAGTCTGACATCGGCCTAAGGCCTTACCTTATGGCTGCCGTGCTACCATCCTTATCATTCTACGTGGTCTTTGCGCCCTCTCGCGTACGACATTTCTCGCGATTCTCCTCTCTTCGCAGCGCGAGTTTCTCCATCATTCCACGGCCTAGCAAATTCAGTATTTTTTATGGGTTTCCTGTTTTCTCTGCACTTATGCTCCTCATTGCACCCCTTGCCTAATTTTCAAACAAATCAACGCATCGAGTCGATTCTGACTTGTGCCTTTAAGTGTGTGGGATGATGCGCGTTTTGCAGCGAAAAGTATGCCCCAGCGACCTAGCGGAGCTGTACTCGGCCTGCTCGCGCCGTTGCCCGGTCATCCCTCGCCATCCTAACCGTTTAGCAAAGAGAACGCTATCGTTTAGAGTAGCATGAGTGCGACGATCAAAGGGCAGAGAAGGGCCCTACTTGTCGGGTTTTGAGCCGTTTTTCATGGGTTCTCTTCATTCTTGCACTACTGATCTATTCCAACTCTCCTTCTAATGTGCCTTTTCATCGTGAACTCTGCCCTAAAATGTGTCGCTAGCAGAAGGTGACACTTGTGGCTACGAATGTGCATCAAGTACAATACAAATATACCTTTGAAGATTGACACAGAATGGATTGTCAGGCTGAGTTTCGAGTAGTACCTCTACATGAAAAGGAGGCACTATGTTGACGTATGTTCTTGGAAGATTTTCCTTCAGGTATCGAATTGCCTTCTGAATATTCGTCGCGTATTGTTCTGCACCGTACAGCGTCTGAAAAATGTATTGAAAGACATAATCCACATCACACTAGTGGAATGACTCCTCATCTCTGGAAAACTTAAGTCATGGAACATGCTTTGCCTACCTTATTGAGACAGGCTTTACACAAGTCATTCGAGCCGATAAAAATATTTATCAGCTTCCATTCCTTGTCCAAATCTGTCCCTGGATAAGCTTTGATCCTACTCACCAGCTCTTCTGCCTGAAAATCGGTCCGGATTATTTCAAACACGGATAGAGTTGAGGACTCGCAATATAATTTTGCCAGCGAACAGAATGTGCAGCTCATGCGCAAACCCAAATATGAACCTATGGTCGCAGTTATACGGCTTAGTTGGTAGTAGATTTTACAGGAATTCTTCAAATGGAGCTGTGTGGCTAATGAAATGGTGCGGGGACGAAAACGACTGCCGAGAAGCACCTATCACTGCACAAATCGAGGATGACAGAGAATTGAAATCGTTTTTAGACAACCGCAAGAAATTAGTAAGCAGGAGAAAACAATATCATGAATGGTTTAGCTAACGCGCATGTGACATGATTATGACACCTCCTTCCTATTACCACGGCCGTGTAGGAATCCACCTGCTACTCAGTCCAGCATGCTGATTAATATGCTGCCGAATTAGTAACGCTGCTTAGCTTGCCGATAAAGATGGAGTAGGTACTTTTAATAGGCAATTGGCTACGATTATGAAATATCATGAACAGGACGTTTACAGAAAAGATAAAAGCCAACTATAAACTTTGTTGTTGAACGCACCTGCCTCGGTAAGTCAGTGGCGAAAGCTCCCGAATCGGCCAGATTGAAGCCGGCAACAAGGGCTTCGTCACTCTTTGCAGTCCCTATACTGGCTCCTTTGAGGCCAGGTGAGAAGTGTCCAAATATGTCTAAAAACGATACATACCTGCTCCGAGTCAAGAGATCGCAGTGTTTGACCCTCGTTTTTTTGCAGCTATTGGGCTGATCATGCATTAAGCCCTACTTTCCGATACACAAACCAGTCAGAAGTTGTGTGAATGATTCGATTTGGTTTGTAGGAAAGAGCCTCAGAGGAAACCCACAGTCGCGGCACTCCTGTGTATGGAAGTCAATTGACAAGGGCGGTAAGGCTTTGCAAAGTTAGCTGCTGCTCGCAAT